GAGAGAGAGAGAGAGAGAGAGAGAGAAGAGGAGAGAGAGAGAGGACGAGAAGCGAGAGAGAGAGAGCAGAGATGAGAATCGGAATGGTTTACCATTATAACTGCCATTCCCGACGAAATAATGTTCACTAACTGGAGTGGAGCACGCTTGCACATGCTTACATAATACACTATAAGCCATTTACGCTCAGATCTCTGGATTCACGCCTATAGTATGATAGATCATGGTCAAAACGGACAACATGTGATTGTTCATTGCCTATCAATTATTGATGCTAATATATGTGATGTTAGTTCGCCTATTTACTTGAATCGTATTCTTGCCTCATCACCTTCATCTTTTTCTAATAGGCAATCTCTTCCTTTTCAATAGCCAAAGCGCCGAATTCGCTGTATGTTTTTCCTTACTATTACTCCAGGTGCTCACAGCTCATATAATACTGATTCTTCTGCAGTTCGATGCATATAATATTATCGCTATGTGATCGTCTGATCCCGTTGCATTACGCCAGAGAACTAAAATCTTACGGTCTTAAGCGCAAATTCCTCTCCCTACTGATTCATCATCATGTACATAATTCGTCCTGCGTTACTTATTGCACGCGTGGATGACGCAAATGTGACTAGCGCAAGTTGGTGGTCGTGGTATCATGATACTAGTATAAATTCATGAATGATAGTCTGCGGAAAAATAGATTGAATATTATGCTAACCATACAAAAGTATATGAATTTGAATTCGCGAGTGCAGCTTTTATTGTTTCATATAGGTTTATGGCGGGTATGGAAACCAGTCATTCCAAACTGAAAACATTATTCAACTCTAAGATAGTAGCATACGCCTAGTTTCTAAACATGAACTTAGAAATGTGAATGACGTCTAACAAGTGTGTAGTTCACACGTTTTCGTCTGATATTATGATGATATATGCTCGCATATCAAAGAAGCTCGTAATGATTATGTGCAAGGCTCAGGTATGCAAACGCAGCATACAAACAGGCAAATGTCTCCAGCTTGCATTGGTACCATACGCTTGTCTCGAGGAAACGGAATTCGTTCCTTACTGCCTGTGAGCCGCCGCCAACAATTTATCAATGGTGATCTAGACAATGAGGTGCTATCATCGCAGGAAGAGAGCTGCTATGCCCACGTCGACAGCAGCAGCAGCAGCGTGGTGCGGGATTATATACGCATGCTACATATCGACCCGTGAAGTTTCAACCCGCCAAAGCGGCTTGCTGAGCGGCGAAAACTGAGTGGGGGTTTTTGTTGCCGAGACGGCATCACGAGGGCTTACAGGGTTGGACATCCGGCTAGCGGCACACCTCTAACCGGCTGGCGTCCGAAACCCGCGTGGCTTACGTATGGTAGTCGCTCCATACACACAACACACACACTCACTCAGAGACCACCGCACGCACGCACGCACGATCGCACCCGCAAGCCGACGCATGCACGACACGCAAAACACGCACGGCCGCGCCACACCACGCGACGCACGCACCGCACGCACACGCACGCACGCACTTGATCACACACACACGCCGCGGTAGCCCACGCCCGCAAACACCACGCCCCCTACACGAGCACAACAAATACTTATTTATATATCATACGTCTATCATTTACATACCATCGGCCGGCTAACATCTTCAGCATCTGCGCTTCGCAGTGATCTGATGGAGATGGCGAATACTGCCTACCCGCTTGACATTTGCCTAACGCCGGCTGCCAGGGTCAACTGCCGTCTCCACCATGTCGCCGTATGCATGATGTTCACGTCTAATAATTATGATGAAATAGAGTTTTAGACTTAAGAACATTGCACCCAAACATCATAACCTCATATTTTATAGAGCGATTGTAATTTTATGAACCTTTGCGTTTAAAGTGATACGTTACGCATTTCTAGCACCATATCAAGTAGAATATATTTGTGTAGTTATTTGATACAAAATAAAATATGAAAATACAATTAGTGTTTCTGTTTATTTTCATGCATTATATGCCTTCTTTATGATGCCTAATTTGCCGGTTGAAAACAGGAGAGACGCCCAGTATTACACAGTACGGGTAAATAGTGTTAGACACAGAAATGACCAAATCGTTATCGATTTTATGCAATCTTAACCAACGTAAAAACAATTTTCTATCAGGCTGAGAGCTTCTGAGGATTATATTTAGTAACGGTTAGTTCTTACTTTTAATGTAAAAAAATGGGCGATTTTTTTTTTTACAAACTTTACCGTGTCGGAAATCGTGACGTAGTCTATTTAACGCCTTGTCATGCTATGATCACGAGCGAGATTTAACGGGCTACGCCTCTTTCCTATTCCTATTGCTACTTATATTCCTATTACTTTATTTTATTGTTCAACAAACCACAGCAAAACTACAATGCCACGAGAGAGAATATTTCCTATTACTCGATGTCTCCACACTATATATTTTAATATATATATTATATAATGATCTCACACTCTTTCTCCCCTCTCTCTCTCTCTCTCTCTCTCTCTCTCTCTCTCTCTCTCTCTCTCTCTCGTTCCCTCTCTCTATTTGTCATACACACGCATCCGCACGGACACGCGGGCCGAATTAATACGCCTATATGTTTACCCTCTGCAACAAAAGTCGGCCATGCTCGTTAGGCTCTATGCTTAGGTTAGGTATACTATATCAAACGGGTTCACCCGCTGTCCATGCAGGCAAGGAGAAGAATGGCATAGATTCCGCAGCCTACTAAGCAAGAAGATGCTGCGCCCTAAAGAAATAGAGCAATACAATCCGCAGATCAACACGGTATCGAAGGACCTGGTCGAGAGGCTGGGCGTTGTCAAAGCAGACAACAGCCACATACAGGGCGTCGAGTTGGAGATCTTCAAATGGGCTTTAGAGTGTAAGTAAAAATGCATACACCTGCATAACGTTGTCTCGCTCACCATGTTCCGATGATGTAATCGCTCCCCTTGTGTCATTAAACTTTCTCCTTCTCTTTCTCTCTCCCCCTCTCTCTTTGTAACGCCCCTCCTTTCTCTCTTTCTTCCTCGCTGTTTCTGTGTCCTAACGCGCGCGCTCGGTCTCTTCTTTCATCGCGCTCTCTCTCACCCCTCTCTCTCTCTCTCTTCCTCTTTCCATCGCCCTTTCTCTCTCTCTCTCTCTCTCTCTCTCTCTCTCTCTCTTTCTCTCTCTATCTCTCCCACTCACTCTTACCCTCTCCCCCTCTCTCTCGTTCTCTTTGGCAATCACTCGTCCTGACGCAGTCGCGCAACTAACATCTAGTTTAGATAACACAGATTAGCCGATCTGGTCAGTCAGATTTATTTCGACTGGGTGACATTATCGCATCCAACGTTTCCTTTTCATTATTACATATCTATGTCGCGCATCCGTCTCGCTCGACCCCCTGTCGCGGCTGCAGGACTACAGGGGGCGCTCCCACGCCATCACCACGCTCTCTAAGACTGTCGCCTCCCGCTTGTCTTCGCAGCGGTCGGGACGATTCTGTTCGAAGAGCGCATCGGGTGCTTCGACGAGGTGCCGTCTACCGAGGCGCGGGAGTTCATCGGGCACGTGCTGGGCTATTTCCGCACCATGCAGTCGCTGCTGTTCGGGCCCCCACTCTACAAGATTCGCCCCACGAAGGAATGGCTCACCCACTGCGAGCACGGAGACAAGGTCTTTGAACTGGGCAAAGCGTTCGTTCAGAAGGTAGGGTGCATATCGATAGACACACGCACGCACGCACGAACGAACGAACGCACACGCACACGCACACGCACGCACGCGCGCACGCACGCACCCCCCCCCCACACACACACACAGCATTCATGCGTGGTGTGTCCGTGCCTGCGTGCGTTTTTACTCGGGTGCGAGTGGAAAAAGTATTGATAAGTGAAAAAAGCAATTATTACTCGGTGGAAACTATATATACAAAATACATACACTAATACAATAAAGTAAACACAATTGTCCGTCGAGATGTTGACCGCTGCTATGTAACCTATTTTTGTTACAGGTGAGCAAATAACTCGATACGGCGTTAGCAATGTGCGCAACGCGCACGTTGCTTGCTACCTATAGTCACTCGGTTTTTCTAAATGGTTTTTCGTGAGCGGGAAATAAATTGATTCTAAACAAAGCCTAAAAAAGCCGCTGTCAAACCAGGCAGACGCGCGCACACGCGCGCGCGCGCGTATATGTACTAGGCGAAAGCAGATATCGACAAAACGTCTGCGTGTAACGCCGTCCAGACAAGTGACTAGTACGTAAACAGAGGAACGCATAACGCACACACGTATAAAAATCATTCATTGCAGAGGGTAGATGCTCTGAGCCGCTCGAGCGAGGCGCAGACGACGAGCAAGCAGTCTTCCCTGCTCACGCACATGCTGGCGGCATCGGAATTATCCAGAGATGAGGTGGTGCACACACTGGTCGACTTGATGCAAGGCGCTATAGAAACGGTACGAACACACTATAGACACGCCCACGCACATGCGCAGGGGAAGGCTCGTCATGAGGGGGGTTTCTGGCACGCTACACTGGTATACTCGCTTATAATGTCGCGCGACATTTTTAGGTATCTTACGCGCGCATGCGCTACCGTGAGTGCATCGAGTGTAGGTGGTGATTTTTTATTGGTAATTCCACAGTGAGATCACACGGAGATTATAGTTGTGACGCGAATGCCTTATCTAAAGCGATCAAAAAGTATTATATACTGATAATACGCTACTAAGTTTCCCAGTAGTAACTTAATAGAGTCATTTTGCGATATCATTATTGAATTTTGTTGGAACGAACCGGGAAGACGTCGCTTGACGTATAAAAAAACCTCCTCTTACACTATCGAGGACGATGTGATGATAAGTTCATTGTCCAATCAACGTTAAAGTGTAACAACGGCGGTTCGGTCACAGCAAACTACTTTGTAGACGTCGGAATTTAATTCTGATATAATCAAATAACGCGCGGAGGATATAAAAAGCGGTCAGTAGCTCTGTAACGAATCTGTAGAAGTTGGGCAGCGATTTGATCATGAGCTAAGTGTCATGCCTGGGCTAGGAATAAAAGCAAAGCTTGTCACGACATGCCATTCCACAATAAGCCAATAAATTTATTAAATTATATATAAATACACACACACACACACACACACACACACACACACACACACACACACACACACACACACACACACACACACACACACACACACACACACACACACACACACACACACACACACACACACACACACACACACACACGCACACACATATATATATATATATGTATATATTGCCGCTGGGAAATGCTTATATCAATTTGTCAACGGTTTTCATGTTATTCAGAACCTCCGAGTTTCAGGTAGCGTTATTTTGTTTTTGGTACTGGCTACGGCATGATTGTAACTAATGTTTTACAATTGATACTTTAGTCGGTGTGCTGATTGCCTACAAAGAGGCTTCCGTCTGTTCGGCTGAGAAAAAATGTGAAAAATATTATTAAAAGTTATACTGCTAAATTTTTGAGCGAGAAAAACGCACTGCCTATGGGTTACATAATTCGCAGATGCCGTTTTGTCCGTATATGCATTGTAATTCCCAGAAGCCGCGTATTTACATATGAATACGCTGCTTGTTAATTGCAGACGTCCAACACGGTACTATGGACACTGTATCAGCTGGCCACTCACCCGACTGCTCAGGAAAAGCTATACAACGAAGTGATGAACGTAGTGGGAGAACACGGTGACGTCACTACGGACGCACTCGCTAAAAATGCCGTACGTCAAAGCCTGTCTGAGGAAACATTCAGGTACGTAACCTAATACTAATGATTTCGTACTTGAATAGCGGTTAGATGGACGCGCACGCATATTGCACCTGCAGCGGAACGAACGTTTACATGAACGCAGATGGACGTTTTACAAGCTGAATTGATGGATAGATGAATGCATGGAAGAATAGACGAACAAAAGAATGTATGGATAGATGGACTGGCAGACGGATAGATGAATGAACGAACAAACAGACAGACAGACAGACAGACAGTCAAACAGACACACACACACACACACACACACACACACACACACACACACACACACACAGACACACACAGACACACACACACACACACACACACACACACACACACACACACACACACACACACACACACACACACGCACACAGAGAGAGACAGAGACAGACAGACAGATAGACAGACAGACAGACAGACGGACGGAGAAAAAAAACAGATAGTCCCGGCTGGGTTTACAACGGACACAACGAATTTCACGTCAACCTTCGCAGCTGAAGTTGTGTAATCATACGCTCTTGTTCGTGTAGGAAATTCCCCGTTACGTTCGCGACGAGTCGCATTATCCCGAGAGACATCGAAATGGGTGGCTACACGATTCCCAAGGGCGTAAGTATGGCTTACATGCTTACGGCGTTAGTCTGCTTGTTTGAGCTCGACGTGCGTTTACATCAATGACGCTGGTAACACACCAACGATTCATCATGATGACAAATCTCTCTTTGCGAAAAACTTTCAAACATTTACATATAAGACCGCCTCATGTGCCCAGATTGATAATTCAAATTCATGTTCAGTATATTTTGGTGGTAAAACAAAGCCGTGTCGGGGCCCTGTGATTCCTATGATATATTATTTTCTCTCGTGTTTATGATTTCTCACCGTATTTTTATTAACCCGTTACCCCTCTGCCGTGCAGTCTCATGTTCAGGCCAGCCTCTACTCAATGGGCCGTGACCCTAAACTGTTCAATGACCCGGAAACGTACAACCCAGACCGATGGCTTGGTATGCACAACGATGAAGTCAGCAAGCTACCCAGCCTCGCATTTGGCCATGGAGCGCGCATGTGCATCGGTAAGCCAGACGCTATATTAAACTGAGACGCTTGTCGTAAAACGTAGACGAGTCCGCGAGTGTTAAATGCAGTACATCGTACAATGTGATTATACTCGTAATAGCCGCAGACGCTGCTTCACAAGGAGAAGTTGCGGTAACGATAGATGAACAGCAGCCGTTGCTACAATCTCCCGCGGGCTTATCACACAGAAACACGTAGCTTACTATAGACAATTAGATTTGCTAGTACTACTTGTACTATTAACAATTTCATTAGTTACTTAGCTATTAGTTAATTAATTTATTACTTTCAAGTACTCTTTGCGCTTCTTGGCGATGTTTTTTTTACCTACTTTACTATCGCTTTCCTTTCTCCCTTTTTATCTCTTTCCCCATATTTCATATAATTATTGTTCTTGTTTTCCGTTCGTTTCCAACTTTCGTCCTCTCTCCTTTTTGCGTTCTTTTTATTCCGTCCCTTCTCAGTCAATGATGTGTGAAATCATCTTATGCGGTTGTTTAGCAGCACTGATCAGAGTTAGGTTGGATGATCATTTCATAATATTTCCGTTTTCACTTTTTAGGGCGTCGTATTGCCGAACAAGAAATCTACACGGGCATCAGTCAGGTACTTATCTCCGTCATTATCCCCCGTCAAAAATCACATTTAAAAAAAAGTTTACATCCAAAATATTAATTGACGAAAATCACTTAGCGACTGACAAACTTGTGCTATAACAGAAGCTAATTAACTTTAATGTTCGGACGAAAAATTATTAGAAAGCTAAACCAAATTAGCTAAAATGATATCGAGTCATCCGAGCTGGTTGTACAGGCGTTAATTCATTTAATCATCGCCCTGTTCCAGATCGTGCGCAAGTACAAGCTAGAGTATGATGGGCCAGAGGTGAAACCGACCCTACAGTTGGTGATGACACCAGACAAACCGATTGTGATGAAGTTCGTGCCGCGACGCTGACCACGTGGCGCCATCTCGCGACAACCAGACGCATCTCGCGCCGATACGCGTGCGTGTGTGTATAATATAGCATCATCGTTCATCATCTCAGACAATCGTCCATTTCGAATGCGCTGGGGTTCTCGGGTGCATGTGTGCATGCTTTCTTTCCGTGCGATATAGCTGACCTGCAACCCGACGATGGAAGCTGGGAGTTAGGGGGAGTATTGTAGGCTGAAGTACGTCATGCTGGCGTGACCTCACTGCCGAGATCGACGCATCATTAATGACGTCATAGCAACACAATCGTGACGCGCTATCGCGGCGTGCTTTTGTCACGAGGGCGAATGCTCATGGCATATAGACAGCTGAGCCATGCCGCCAGGGCAGAGAGAGAGAGAGAGACAGAGCGAAAGAGACAGAGCGAGAGAGAGAGAGAGAGAGAGAGAGAGAGAGAGAGAGAGAGAGAAAGAGCGAGAGAGACAGAGGGGAGGGGGGAGAGCGAGAGAGCGAAAGAGACAGAGGGAGAGAGAGAGAGAGACAGAGTGAGAGAGACAAAGCGAGAGACAGAGGGAGAGAGAAAGAGAGAGAAAATGATGAGACAGGGATAACGAAAAAGACCGCGACAGAAGGTGACAGAAGGCGAAAGTAAGAAGGGAAAGGAGCGAGAAGAGAGAAAACGAAAGGGAGCCAGATGGGTGGGGTGAACAAGAGCACAGGAGAGAGTGCGTGGTCAAAGTTATTATTCTGCTATGGGTGAGGTACTCCGGGGCACCGGGGGGAATCAAGCACTGATCAACACTTGTTAGGATATCACGCGCTGCTTGTATTCTCTCATCGATATAGTCGTTGCGAATTGATTTAGTGTCTGTTTCTAACGTAATCAGTCAGTTATTGCTTTTAGATGAATGTTGTTTGGAGTCTAAGCGATAGTTAGCACAGCTTTCACTCCATTTTTTGTAACCTCAACGCGTTAGATTTTCGTTTCCGTACGCATGTGGCTTGTTCTGGGCGCTACGCGGCGCTCCGATATTAAACACTCGCACCCGAATCTAAGACCTGAAATCTAGCCGCGGCTTTCAAAAACAAATAGCGACCATGCATCAGACCATCGTTATCCTAACCGAATAACATAATCTGAATCAAAATTGAACCTATCCATATAGAAGTAAGCAATAACATTGCAAAAAGACTAGCACTATTTAGATGAACTCGCGATTAGACTTCATCATTGTTTGATTACACTTATTTCAAAGCCGGTGCAAATATGATAAGCATTAAAATGCACTGAATATCTACCGTACGCGTGTTTCTAAGCGTACGGAGCGACGACGGCATTTTACACATCTAGCAGTATGCATGTTCATCTAAGAACGTGAACCTTGTCGGCTGTAGAATGGTCGTTATTTATCGTAACGAATACGCACCGTAGTGTTCTTCCGGTGGCACGTCAGGCAGTAGATACCAAATGTTATATGCCACGTACCATGCCCAAGCATAATCATATACATATATAAAGGTCACAGTGAGAAGTAAGTTTTACCATTCGTTAATTTTTACATGTGAAAGGTTCACTCGTCTGTGGTGCGGAGCCATACTCGATATTCGATGTTCGATATCAACTCCATACGTTTCATTAAAATATATAGCAAAAATCACGAACACATAAATATAATAATAAAATCAATATTTAGATTGTTTATATCGCACGATCTGTTACGTTTTGCATGTACTTGAATAAATGTTGATTTCTTATTTCTAATCAAGAGGCATGTTCGATAATCTGATTATCAAAATCAATCGTAGTTTGCATGCTAATGCTCGAACCCGCCTGAAATAGCGGTCAGGTATTATCCAAGCATGCAGATTCCGCGCCATCTATCGGCGCTTTTTAGTTTCTGCAGAATAGCTCGGAGATCAGATTTTGCTTGTTAATTTATTGCACGACATTAGTGGCTCGACAATTACAATAATTATTCTTCGCATAGATGTTGATCAGCTATCGAACACAACGACTATAATGTAAGCCACGAGTTAATACTGTTGAGGTGTGCTCACCTTCACGTGGGTGATGACTACCACGAGACTGTGGAAGTTCTGGTTCTTTAAGTGTGAGGTTAAAGGGCCGTCATCGGGCTAACTTGTCTTTGTAGTCTCTCGGCGAATCGTGTATGAAAGCGCGTAGCTCAGTATGGGGTGTGCGTTAAAGCTTATAGGCACCAGAGACTCCGTACGTAATATAACGACGCTGTAGTTTTGACTTGTATTAACCTATCTACTGATACATTTATCAATCCATAAGCCATCCAAGCACTCATCTACATACATACTCAGCCACCCCACCATACATGAATATATTCATCCGTCTACGCATCCATTCGTGCATACTCCCATCCAATTATTCACCCATCCAGCCACACAACCCCAAACACCCCCAGCCCCGCGCAAACCCTCCCACCCATCTATCCATCCATCTATCCAACCAGGCAGCCATCCACCTATCCATCCATCCATCCTTCCACCCACTCCCATCTATCCATCCATCCATCCATCCATCCATCCATCCATCCATCCATCCATCCATCCATCCATCCATCCATCCATCCTTCCTTCCTTTCTTCCTTCCATCCATCCATCCATCCATCCATCCATCCATCCATCCATCCATCCATCCATCCATCCATCCATCCATCCATCCATCCAT